ACAAATAAGAGTATCACAGTATCTCTTAGATGTAGAATATCTTGAAAAACCAATTAGAACCCTTTATCTTTCGTTTTTGCTCACAGCACAGATAATAAAGACAACTCATGTGCTGTCTCTGCTCCTACTCTGCTCCTCTGGAGCAATGCCATTGCAAGGGCCAGCGGGCAGTGTGTGTCCTCATCCACCTAGTGCATCCTCCTGTGGCGGGCTGGAGAAGGGAGGGGCAGAGGCAGGAGGAATGGATCAACGCAAACACTTGTGCTTCCTGGAAATAAACTGAGGTGCAGGCTCATCAATGGTCTGAGATCCAAACTGTTCTCTCAGTAAGGAACAGTTTTTAAAATTTCTCTTTTTGTATATGAAATCATCTGACCTGCAAGTCAGAGACAGGAATCAGTGCCCTAACTCCAGATACCCACCCCCTCAAAAAAGGAGCCCAGCTTTTATAGATATCTTTTATTGTGTTTCATATTTATTTCTTGAGAAAATTTTCTTCCTTGCTGTTCCTCTTATTTTTAAAAACAAATTTATTAATATTAAAGACCAAGCATTATAGAGATGGAAAGACAGAAGTTTATTTCCCATGACTGTGACAGCTGGAGCTGGGCCAGTACAAGCCAGACTGGACCCATTCCGGTCCCCAAGTGTGTGACAGAGGCCCAAGTAGTTGGCTAACCATCTTCTGCTCTGATCACATTAGCAATTATCCAGATCCAATCTCAGGTGCCAGATGTGCTATTCAGCTGATGCAGTCTCTATCCATTGTCTGGAAATGTGGGAGGCACAGTCACCACCAATTGCCATACAAGTCAGAGCATTGGCAGTAGTCTAGACCAGTATCAGCAGAAACCATGGCAATCTCCTAAGCCTCTGATCTATGATGCATCCACGATGGGATCCCTTCGAGGCTCAAGGGCAGTGGATCTGGGACATCATTCACTCTCACCATCAGTGCTGTGCAGCCTGAAGATGTAGCCAGTTATTACAGTTTCCAGTATAACAGTTACCCTCTCACAGTAATAAAAACTCAACCATAGAGCCCACCTAGAGGAGCAGAAGTGCATGTCTGAGCTGCCCTGACTGCTTTTCCTGGAGACTCCATCTGCTGAGAGTGGCTCTAAGCTACAGCCAGGCTTGACAGACCCTGGAAGGTTTGTAGAAGAGGCATGGGGTCTCATTTGAAGCCACCACTCCTTCCAACTCATTGATGATGGCAGCACAGATATGACTGTATCTACACTGATTTAAAGCAAAAAATTGAGGGCTCCATGTGACAGCATCCTTTTAGATTCGTGCTGCACACACATAAGCATTACAGATATTCCAGGCAGAAGTGGTTTAATACAGTTCCTTAGAATCTAAGCTGTAGTTCTATCGCACTTGGATAAGGGGATTGGAGACAGTGTGCGCCTGTGTCATGGAAGGAACAGTCAGCTGACACTGTGGTCCTCAGTCATGGAGCTGATGCTCTCAGCTGGCTGCAGCACTTACAGGAGGTTCCCCAGTCCTCATATTGTCCATGGGTCAGCCTGAAGGTGAAGAATGGTACAGAGTTCTCTTCTCCTGACTTTCACATCTCAGTGCACTCAGGTTGTTTGTTCTATGACTCATCGTAATGAAGTGTGGAAATTAGGGATATTAACACAGATGATATTTATTTATTTGATAAATATTTATCATAAATAAATCAATCTGGGATTTCCTTTCCTTACCTCCCCAAATCCCAAACCCCGCTGATTTCCTCTATATTATCACAATAGTTTGTCCATCAGAAACAGTCATAAGTCCATTATTCTTCTACTTACGTAATCCTGACATTGCAGGTATGGACAATGGTACAGAGTCCAGCATCCTATTGCTATGACATGTATTACAGTTTCATTGGCAATCCATCTCTGATTTGGAAGTAGAGATCTTCACATCTTGAAATGATATTCTGTATTGCACTGTTCCTCTAGATTTTATATGGACATGCGTGTTTACTAATATGTATTGATCTTATATTTTTGCATATACATCAGAAAGAACATATGTCTTTGGGCACAGAGTTGTAGCCTAGTGGCTAAAGTCCTCGTCTTCCATGTGAGGGGATCCCATACAGGTGCTGGTTCGTATCCTCGCTGCTCCACTTACCTTCCAGCGCCCTGCTTGTGGCCTGGGAAGGCAGTCAAGAATGAGCCAAAGCCTTAGGACCCTGTACCCTTATGAGAGACTCAGAAGAAACTCCTGGCTCCTGGGTTCAGGTTGGCTCAGTTCCAGCAGGTGCACCCACTTGGTGAGTAAACCAGCAGATGGAAAAGCTTTATCTCTCCTTTTTTAAAATTTGACTTTCCGGGCCCGGCGCGGTGGCGCAAGTGGTTAAAGGTCCTCGCCTTGCACGCCCGGGATCCCATATGGGCGCCGGTTCTAATCCCGGCAGCCCCGCTTCCCTTCCAGCTCCCTGCCTGTGGCCCGGGAAGGCAGTCGAGGACGGCCCAAAGCTTTGGGAACCTGCACCCGCGTGGGAGACCCGGAAGAGGCTCCTGGCTTTGGATCGGCATAGTATCGGCCCGTTGCGCTCACTTGGGGAGTGTATCATCGGATGGAAGATCTTCCTCTCTGTCTCTCCTCTCTGTATATCCGCCTTTCCAATGAAAAAATAATAAAAATAAATCTTTAAAAAAAATTAAAAAAAAATTTGACTTTCCAACAAAAATTAATAAATCTTTAAAAAATATTTAAAATTTTTATTGTACTTGTTAGTCAATGTTATAGGAAGAAGAAGCGTCAGAGAGATTTCACTGTCATTACCATCAGTCTCCTGGCCAAGAACAGGAGCAGCATGAGAGCATGTGGGCAGTGTGAGAGCCGTCCTCAATCAGGGATTCAGCCTCCAACACAAATCTCCTCTTGAGGCCATGGGTGAGTGAGCTCCTACTGTCGCAGCTGCTTCCTTCCTGCTCTACTTTGTCCCTCCTTTGTCTGTAGAGCATACCACATCTCCTGAATGGAGCAGTCTGTCCTGCATCCTTTGCATGAGGAAGCCAGGTCATAAAGACCCTGTAAGAGTCTGTCATGACCCTTTCTCTGCTTCATTCAGAGCTTTGCCTCTGAATAGAGGCAACTGCCTCTCCCATGTGTCTGCTGACACTGAACCTTCCCGTTTCCTTCCTTGGCTGACTCACCTGCTTCTCTCTCTCACTCCCTCTCTTCCTCCCTCCCTTGCTCCCTCTGGGCACATCACCAGATTTAATCCTCAGCAGTAGGTTTCCAAGCATTTCTTCACTTACTCATCTGCCCTCCAATCAGTCTCTTCTCCCTCTCTCCTGATTTGACTCTGCATGTTTTAACTGGTGCTCTTGGTTTCAGAAATGGAAACACAGTTCAGGTCCTGGAAATGTTGCTTTAAACGTGAAAAGACTTAAAAATTGTGCTCTGAAGAGTATTATGAATTAGTCAGCTGAAAGTAATATAATATAATATAATATAATATAATATAATATAATATAATATAATATAATATAATTCTTCTTGTAATAGAAAGGTGAGCCTAGATCAGAGAGGAGGAAGAAGGTTGTTGGAGGGAGGGAAGAGAGGAGGCACAGAGCAGGACATGTGGGTCATCCTGAAACTGCAAGGACAAGGACTTGGATCCTCCCCTCTGGAGCTGCCAGAAGGAGCACAGCCCTGCGTCCTGAACTGGCCCTGTGAAAGACCTCCTTGATTCCACCCCAGCACGATCTCTGACCTCCTGATCTGGGATGACAGCACAGTGTGCAGATTTACATAAAAGTACAATAATATATAAATAATGTTTTTCAGCTAATACAAATAATTTCTGTTACCTCCCTCATTAATTGTCTTAACTCTGAGATACTCAAATGTCACTTTGTCCTCATTTGGTGTCAGTTTGGCAGAATTAGACAACAGCTGATTATAAGGTGGGAACACAAAATCCTCTCAGAGGGAAAATCCTTTCAGTGAATTGTGGTAGTGACTTCTTGTTAACCCAGTTGTGTGAAAGCCAAGGGCTCAGCTAACAGACTGTGTGTGGAGGAAGAGGTTCTGATTTGTTGGCTTCTCTGTTTCCATATTGGGAGGAGAAAATAAGATTACAGAGACTGGAAGAGTACAGAGCTGTGTCCAAGAGATTAGAATGGACGGAGCAGATGAGAAAGACTCAGGGACACGAGATACTGCTTTCCTTACAAATCTGAAATGTGGTCAGCTGCAGTCTCTGAAGGCTTCGAGACAGTTGTATGTGACAGGAATAATACAGAGAGGGCTGGTCAAAGATCTGGATCAACATGGATTCAAGTAAGTCAGTGTGAACCCTGGATTTCACATCACCCTGGTTTTTTGTGTCCTGTCTCTAATATAGAGTCTCAAATATGGAGTCAAAATGGATATGTGGAGGAAAATATTTAAACATATTGGCCTGGGTTAAAATTCTAGACCTCCACCGGAGTGCAAGGTATGTCTTAGGGGAAATAACCCACATGCCATAAGATTTGAATGTCAGAAGACAAATTCTGTATCATTGATGCAGAATAATGAAGGATTTGGGAACCACCAGCTCCGTGGCTGAGGATTACAGACCTAACAGCCTGATTAAAGCACTCAGGAAGAGCACAGATGCTATGTTGCTACTATCACTGTGTCTGATCCACGTATTCCTAGAACATTTAAGTATAACTTGGATTCTTCATAATGCTAACCTTTAAATGTATGAATCCAAAAATGGTTGTAACATTGAAATCTCAGGCAAACACATCTTCCCTTTAATTCAGAAGAAACCTGGACATATCAGTGCTGCAGGTGTTAAGTAGAAGAAAAGAGAAGGAGGCTATAAAAGGAGTTCTGGGGACCTTTCTAACTACCTTGCAGGGACCATAGAAGACTTACGGCATGATAGAATGACTCTTACAAGATAGAGGCCCCAGAAGAGCAGCTAGGGTAGCCCAGACTCACAATTCTGCTTTCCTGGGATGTTTTGTTCAGGCTTGCATCACTGAGTGAGTGTTATCACTATAATACCCAGCACAGTAGTAGATTCCAACATCCTCAGCCTGCACCCCGCTGATGGTGAGAGTGAATGATGTCCCAGATCCACTGCCCTTGAACCTCGAGGGGACCCCAGATGCTAAAGTGGATGCCATATAGATCAGGGGCTTTGGAGGTTGCCCTGGTTTCTGCTGATACCAGGCTAGATTATTGTTGCTAGCAACACTCAGACTTGACTGACAATTGATGGTGGCTGTGCCTTCCACAGATGCGGACACCACAGATGGACTCTGGGTCACCACGGCACATCTGGCACCTGAGAAGAGAAACACAAACATAAACATCCACTCTCATCAGCAAGTCCATACAGAAGAAACAGGAAGACTCAGTCAGCACTGACTACACTAGTGCCGACACAACTCCTGCTGTTGTCCTTCCTCACCTGGGAGCCAGAGCAGCAGGAGGCCCAGGAGCTGAGCAGGGGCCCTCATGTCCATGCTGTGTCCTGACTGGCACTGACTCCTGCACAGGCTGTGAGCACCTCCTCATAAGTGTGCAAGGTAGTGGGCTGAACCCAGTGACAGGCAAATCATCAGGCGAAGTGATATCACTGTGCAAAGCAGAAGAGCCCAGCTCATCTCGTAAGTGAGCACAGGGTAAGTGTCTTCAGACACCCAGGTCACCCCCTGGTTGCACTAATTTACCTGCAGAGAACATGGTCCTCTCTGACACACATTATGGTGTATGAGGCATTTTAGGGTCAATTGACAAACTCCGAATAAACCAAAGGACAAGAATGTGTCACCCATTTGTACTTTGTGCTTTTTTTTTCATCTTACAGGAAATCTAATTCTTGATGGAGAATGTGCAGTACCCTTTTGTAGAGTAATGGTATCAATCCCTCAGCCTGTCCTCAGATTCTTCTCATGGTTTATTAATTTTTAATACATGTCTGTGAGACTGAAATTATTTTATTTAGCATATTTAGAAAAGAGGAAGACAGGGATTCATACATTTAGGAGCCAATGTAAAATCATACTCAGACACTGTTAGAGTCTGAATAGTAAGGAGCGGTTTACTGTAGAGAGATGCAGCACAACATAGTAGTGGGCTGTTTTGCTCTGAGTAAAAATGGGCTATATCTTTCTTGCCATGAGTGTCTTTGCAATAGTAGTTTCTGCCATTGGCTATTATTTCCTGAACTTCATCAGCATGAAACTCTAACTACTGATGTGAAAATCAACGTACACCACTATCATCAGTGTTCGCATTCATCTGTAGGTACCTGTATTAGGATCCACAAGATCCGTTTGATAAGGGTACACCCAGAACAGTTCTTTTTGAAAATGCAAAGCAGCCCCATGGGATTCTCTAAGCTTCAATTCCTACCACTGGGACTCTGATCAAGACAAAAAGATACAGATCATTTACTCCAGAGGAAGTTGTCCTGTGAGAACACTCAGGTTGTACTGGGGCGGATCCACATGGTGCGCGGTGGACCTTGCCTGTGGACAGCCAGTGTGGGAGCGGGTCACCTGTGGACAGCTAGTGTGGGAGCGGGTCACCTGAAAGGCCACCAGCAACAGTTTTGGATGACTGCACCTCTGTCCAACCTCAGGGCAGCAATCTGATGAGAAAGCTTGAAGCAGAACCAGCCAGGAAAACAGAGCCCAAACTCCTGGCTCACAGAAATGGTGTGAGACAATCATACTGTTCATACTTTAAGCTGCTGAATTTGAGGAGAGCTTGCTACACAAAAATACAGAAATAGTGCATGTTCAGAAAACACATTAATTTCAAGGGCAAAAAGGAGCATTTCATCTAGACAGAGCTGTTTCTAAAGGCATGGCTAGGGCTAACAGGGGACAGGGAATATCAGCAATAACTAGAGGCTCCTTGGCGGATCTGGCATGGAATGTGGCAGGAAGCTGAGCTGGGAGGGAGAAAACCTTGAAAGAATTCAGTGACAGAGTGTTCAAATGGGGAAGACAAATCATTTAGCTAGGAGCATACACTAGTGCTGCCAGATAGAGCCCCTCCTTATAAATTCCACTCCTCCACTTCATTTTTCCTCTTTTTCCCCCTTCTTGTATGTCACTCCAGGCTACTATGAAATCACACAGAGGAAGCTTGGCTGGACACAACAACAGCCACAAGAACCACAGAGGAGCTTGTCAAGGTCTGAGATTGTGCAAGCCCTGGAACCTGGTCACGGGTGGAACACTGTCAGGAAAGCAAGTCCTGAACTGTGAGAAGAGCAATGGGACATTTCACACATGGAAAAGCAGACTGTGGCCTTTCCTGTGTTCCACAGGCAGACGTTCTTGGCAGGAAATCCTGTGCCTATGCCACTACTGCATTCATTACATTTTATGCAACAGTGGCAGGTTTGCTCTCATGAACTTGAGGCAATGACACCACCTGGCAGAAAGCGGTATTGTGGAGGACTTCACATCCACAGTCAGCAGCAGCCCGTTTCCTTTCTGAGCATGAGTCCTCTAGTTTGAATTATGGTGCATCTTTCTGCAGTGAATTCCTTTACATTGTTCGGATTTCATTAGACTTAGTGCCATCTCAATTTGGCCTCTGAGTATATTTGTGGTCCTCTATACACTCTTTTTTTAGTTGAATAATTGAAATACTTTTGCTCTTCTAGAAATATACAAGTGATTAGTAGATCAGAGGAACAATGATGGGCAGTCTGAGGATTTGATAGCTGTACTCTCTAAGATGTCACTGCAGATTATCTACCAACCGTAAATCACCATTGCCTGGAAATAAAAGTAGATCTTAGCATGTTGTCTTTTGGTTCATTTAAATTATGGCAAGTGTCTCTTAAACCCTTTCGTGTAATCAAGCCCTCTCTGCAGTTTTGCCTGCCACATGCAATCATCTGAAAACCTTCACACACCCAGCTAATTTCATTTTAGATTAGTAGACAGGGGCACATTTCACATTCATGACCCTTCAATTGTATCTTCCTTCTCATGTCTTGGTTTCAGTTTGTCCTCACATTCTCTGTAATCCTATTTTCTCCTAATATGGAAGCAGAGAAGCAAACAAATCAAACTCTCTTCCTCCACTCACCATCCTTGATAGCTGAGCCCCAGGCTTTCACATCCCAGGACTGGTAAGAAATCACTAAGATATCTCACACAAGAGATTCTCATTTGTTCTCTCATCTTACATTCTGTTGTCTGTCTGCTGTTAAAACTGACACCAAATGAGAACAAAGTGACAATCAGAGGATCTCAGAGGTCAGTCGGTGACTCAGGGATGTAAAAGACAATATCTGCACTTCAACTAACTTAATAACCATTGTAATAGGTTATTATGTTGATTTCATAAATATTTGCTTTTATTGGAAAGTCAGATTTGCTGAGAGAAAAAAAGACAGAGAGATTAAAAATCTTGCATCTGCTGGTTTACTCCCCAAATACCGCAGTGACCGAACTGAATTGATGGGAAGCCAGCATTCCTGCGGTGCTTCTGGGTCTTGCATGTTGGTACAGGATCCCAAGAAGTTCTACCATTCTCTAGTGTTTTCCCAGGTCATTAGCAGGGAGCTGGGTCAGAAGGGGGCAACCAGGATACTAACAGCACCATTATGGGCTGCCAGTGTTTGCAGATAGAGGATTAGCCTGTTTAGAAATTGTGTCCATGCCCTATTATACTGTTTAGGACTGAACCCACACAAATAAGTTGCCATCCCAGTTCAGCAGGTCAGAGACCTCGTTGGATGAAACCAAGGAGGCAGCAGGACTGTGCTCCTTCTGGCAGCTCCAGAGGGGAGGATCCAAGTCCCTTTGTTGGAACATCAGGATGCCCCACATGTCCTGTCCTCCTCTGTCCTCCTCCTCTGTCCAGCTAGTTTCTCCACTATCACAGCTGGTCTTCGTCCTTGGCTTCCTCCCTATTCTTAGGAGGATTATGTTGCATTGTATTAACTTCTGCCAGACAATTCTGGATAATCTGGATTACAGTCATTAGCTAATCAGTCTGCTGGTTACCCTCTGACAACCAGTGTAACATCCCAATGATCTGGAATTTAGGATGTGGGTGTCTCTGGCTTAGACTGATTTTCCCCTTCCTTATTCTGTTATCACCCCTACTACTGAAGTAGTCTAAATCAGAATTCAAAATCACAAAGAAGTTCTTTTGAGCTCAGAGCTGCAGGACATTTGAGATCCAGTCCCTGACTCCATGATTGAAGCTGGGGCAGTTGTATATGCAGCTGCTAATGGAGTCTTCCTGGTCTACACTGTAGGCCTAGACATTTTTTGTTTTTTGAAGTAAAGGTGAAATTTCTGTTTCAGCGCAGTAACAGAAGGACGAAAGAAATTCAAATTTCCTTCATTTTGTTAAACTTCTACCCCTTAGAAGGGAGAGCTGACATGAACTGAGCAATGACACTCCTTGTGTAACAATTAGAATTTCTCTACCTATGTTATGGGTTCTAGAATTTATATTTTAGCGGAGGACCAGTGCAATAAGGAGGTGAGACAAGGAGAAGACAAATGGGAAAGGCTCTTAGGTCAGTAAGTTGTAATGGATTAGGAAATGTTGGCCCACATGGAATACAGATGAAAGTCTCAGAACTGACGTCACTGAGAGGTGAGGGAGCTGGGGTCCTTACTCCTCCTCTTGCCTTCATGCACAGAGAGTTCCCTAAGGGTTGCTCATCCCAGGCAGACTGAACTTCCTCCCCACTCAGAGAGCTCAGTGCAGCCCAGGTGGAGGGGGTCAGGTCAGCAAAGGAACAGTGAAGGGGAAGGATGGGGTGGTGCTGCTGCCTAACTCCTTAAAGATGTGAGCATTCAGTCTGGAAAGGCAGTTTTCTTATTTCTGATCCTGACAGACTCTTTGTTAACAGGTTCCTTTGGAAATCACATCTCAGGTAAACCTTGTGATGTGGCTGCACCCTCATGATCTGGTCAGCTGTGTTCATATCTCGGTAACACCAACCACCTCTCTGATTTCCAGGCTCCATGGCACTGAGGTAGTGACTTCGTTGTCCCGTTTCACTGAATCAGACTGGGTGATCAGAGCACAGAATGAAATGTGAGATATAGGGGAGCAAATCTGGGTCTAAATATACTGGAATACAAGATATTGCTCTATGTTATTGGCACTAACTTGACAAAGTGGAGACTCCTGGATAGGGAGAAGGCAATTGCTCATACTCCCATCCCAACACGAAAGAATAGACGAAGAATGAGGCATTTCAGTGCCTGATTTGGCATTGAAACCAAGCAGCAGATAGCCTCCTGTAAGTAAGGTAGATTAATAAATTGATCTTTCTCTTGGGATACCCCCTCACCTCTTCTTCATGTACCAGGTTCTACAGATGGTCCACCTGAGCCCCAGTGGTAGATACTGCAGTTTATAAGCTCCCTGCGTTTTCTTTATCTGTTGCAGAGAATTGTTCTTGGTGTGAACTCATCCAAAATTTATTGTGGATCCTAAGCCAGATACCTACAGATGAAAGCAAATACTGATGATAGTTGCAATCATTGAATTTCACATCAGTAGTCAGAGCTTCATGGTGACGAAGTTCAGGAAATCACAGCCAATGACAGGAAATTGTATTGCAGAGGTCCTCATGTCAAGAATGGGGAGCCGATTTAGTCTCTGGGCATAAGAGCCCTCTCCTGTATTATGGTGCATCCATCTGCACTGAATTGCTACTGATTATTCAGATTCTAACAATGTGTGAAGATAATTTTACATTGCCTCCTAAATATATAGGAATTCCTCTTACTCTCTTTTCTATATAAAGGAAATGAAGTAATTTCAGACTCCCAGAAGTGTATAAGAAATTAGTTACCATGGGAAGAATTTAAGGGCAGGCTGAGGAAATGATATAATTACTCTATAGAATGGTACTGCATATTCTTTACCAACAAGTACATGTCCCGTAAAATGAAACAAAGTCATAAAGCACAGTGGATGACATCATCTTGCCTTTCAGTTTATTTGGAGCATGCCAAGTGACCCTAAAATGCTTTGTCCTATAGCCTGTTTTGGAGAGGATCATATTCTGTGCAGGTAAATTAGTGCAGCACAGGTGTGACCTGAATGCCTGGAGACACTTACCCTGTGCTCACATACGAGATGAGCTGGGCTCTTCTGCTTTGCACAGTGATATCACTTCCCTTGCTGATTTGCATGTCCCCAGGGCACAGCCCACTGCCCTGCACACTTAAGAGCTGGCTGCTCTCACCCTGCGCAGGAGTCAGTGCCAGTCAGGACACAGCATGGACATGAAGGCCCCTGTTCAGCTCTGGGGCTCCTGCTACTCTGGCTCCTAGGTGAGGAAGGACAACAACAGGAATTGACTCAGTTCTTGTAGTCAGTGCTGACTGAGTCTTCCTGTCTCTTCTGTATGGACATGCTGATGAGAGTGGATGTTTGTGTTTGTGTTTCTCTTCTCAGGTGCCAGATGTTCCGGCCAAACAGTAACCCAGAGTCCATCCGTGGTGTCTGCACCTGTGGGAGGCACAGCCACCATCAACTGCCAGTCAAGTCAGAGTGTTTACAACAACAATGCTCTATACTGGTATCAGCAGAAACCAGGGCAACCTCCAAAGCTCCTGATCTATGATGCATCCAAATTAGCCTCTGGGGTCCCCTCGAGGTTCAAGGGCAGTGGCTCTGGGGCATCATTCACTCTCACCATCAGCGGGGTGCAGGCTGAGGATGCAGGAATCTACTACTGTGCTGGAGCTTATAGTGGTTACATTTACACAATGATACAAGCCTGAACAAAAAACTCCCAGGGAAGCAGAAGTGTGAGTGTGTGCTGCCCCAGCTGCTCCTCCTGAAGCCTCTATCTGCTGACAGACATTATTACATGTAGTCTGTCTTTCATGGTCAGTGGAGTGTAATTAGAAAGAACTCTGGGCTCCCTTATATCCTCCCTCTCTTCCTACTTGACACTTACAACATGTCCATGTTTCTACTAGTTAAAGGATAGAAGTGATTTTGCCTCAGTTTTCAAAGTTATACCATCTTTTGGATTCATACAGCAAAAAGTAAGATTATGTATCTTTCAAGCAGAAGCATTAAACAGAGTACAATATAATCCAAGTTATATTTATAAAGTATAATCCAAGTTATACTTTAATGCTCTAGGATTGTGGGGATCAGTGATTGTAGAAATGTGACTCTGTGTTCTTCCCGAATCCAAAGCCCCTCTGACAGACAGAAGGAATAGGCTGCTGACTCTGTGGTCCTTGGCTCTGGAGCTGATACTCTCAGCTGTCTGCAGCCACACAGGTGGTTCCCCAGTCCTTTATACTTGGGTTTTCCAATAGGTGCAAATGGAAGATATAGGATTTTCTTCTGACATTCAAATATCAGGGCATAGGGCTTGTTTCCCTAGGATACATGTTGAATTCTCGTGGAGATCTAGTATTTTAATACAGGCTAATATATGTTTAAATATTTTTCTTCCACATGGCTATGTTCACTCCATATTTGAGGCTGTAACTAGAGACAGCACACAAGAAAACCAGGGTGATATGAAATCCAGCCTTCACACTGACCTGCTTGGTTCCATCTTGCTCTAGATCTTTAATCCTGCCTTCTCTGCTTTTATTCCAGCCACATGCAACTGTCTCAAAACCTTCACAGACCCCAGGTGATTCCATTTCAGACTTGTGAGGATAGCAGTATCTCACATCCCTGACCCTTTCCTCATCTGCTCTGTCCCTTCTCATCCCTCGGACTCAGCTCTGTCCTCTCCCAGTCTCTGTAATCTTGTTTTCTCTCCTAATATGGAAGCACAAAAGCAAATAAATGAGAGTCTCTGTTTCCACTCACACTCTTTGATAGTGGAACCCTAGGCTCTCACACACCTGGTTGATAAGAGGTCACTATGATAATTCACTGAGGAAATCTTCCCTCTAACAGGAATTTGTGCTCCCAACTTAGAACTACGTGTTGTGTTGTTCTGCAAAACTGACAAGAAGTAAGAACAAAGTGAGGATCTCATAGGTCAGTCAACTACTGGGGCAAGTAAAGCAAATGATCTGTATTTGTATTAGTTAAAAATGTTGTTTATTTCTAAAGATTTATTTTTTAAAGATTTATTTCTTTTTTGCAAAGTCAGTTATACAGAGAGGAGGAGAGACAGAGAAGAACATCTTTTGTCTTATGATTCACTCACCAATTGGCCGCAATGGCTGAAGCTGAGGTGATCCGAAGCCAAGAGCCCGGAGTTCTTCTTGGTTTCTCACGTGGGTGCAGGATCCCAAGGGTTTGAGCTGTCCTCGACTGTTTTCCCAGGCCACAAGCAGGGAGCTGGATGGGAAATGGGCCCGCTGATATTAGATCCATATAGGATTCTGGCATGTGCAAGGCAAGCAGTTTAGCCGCTAGGCTACTTCACCGGGTGCTGCTAAAAATATTATTTCTCAGAGCATGCCCCACATCAGGGAGCTGGGATGGTTGGGAGACTGGGTGGGGCTTCTCCCTTTACTCCAGATACATGACAAAAACAATTTGGAAATAATAAGTAGTCTTACCCACTTTCCTATAGCCCTTGAACCTTTTTGCCCTAATTAACTATGTAAAGAAAGCCAAAAATAAAGAAAAGGTATGGAAAAAAATATATATAAAACTCAAGTAAGGAATTGGAAAAAGTATTATTTATAAACTATTGTAATGATTATAATGTCAACCTGCACATTGTGCTGTCATCCCAGTTCAGGGGATCAGGGGCCTGGCTGTGATGAATCCAAGGAGGCAGCAGGGCTGTGCTCCTTCTGACAGCTCAAGCATGAATGATCTAAATTACTGTGTATGTTCAGGATTCCCCACATGTCCCTTCATACGCTCACTCCAACAACCTTCTACACTGTCATATCCCCTCTCTCACCTAGACCCACCTTTATATTATAAGGAGGATTACATATTATATTGTTATATTTCTCTTGGTGAAATAATTCATAATAATATCCAGAGTACATTTATTAAGTAATCAATCTGCCAATACTCTTTGGCATTAAACTAACATTCCCAAGATTCATAACTGTTTTCAGTTTTGAAACCAAGAGCACCAGGTAAAAACTGCAAAGTCGGATTTGGGGACAGGAAGAAGAAAAAAAATGACTGGAGGGCAGAGTACTTTGAGATTAAGAAGTATTTGATAACTCAGTGCTGAGGATTAACTCTGATGATGTAAAGAGAGACAGAGAGGTAGAGAAACAGAGAGAGAGAAAGCATTGAGTCAGCAAAGGAAGGAAATGGGAAGGTTCAGTGTCAGCAGGCACATGGGAGAGGCAGCTGCTCCATCCCATATTCTTCCCTGAATTATTTTGCTAAGAGTCAGATGAGACTGTCACTGTTTGGGGGGTTAAGTCTACCTTATAGGCAACGGAGATCATGAGATGCAGTCAAGCTTGACTAACACAGAGGAAGGCTCATGACATTTTCTTCCAGGTCTTCTTCGTTCCCTGGCTTCCTTGTGCAAAGGACCCAGGAGAGGCTGTTCCCCTCATTCTTCCCTTGGTAGATACTCCACAGTGAAGCAGGAGACAGGGTCTGTTCTACAGGGAAGGGAGGGACAGTGCAGGACAGGAAGGAAGCAGCTGGGACACTGAGCTTACTCCCCTATGTCCCTGGGGAGGAGGTCCATCCTCTACTGCTTTCCCAGGTCACAGAGAAAGGCTGGATGGGAAGTGGAGCTGCTGGGACACCGACTAATGCCCCTATGCACTCACCCTGCGCAGGAGTCAGTGCCAGTCAGGACACAGCATGGACATGAGGGCCCCTGTTCAGCTCTGGGGCTCCTGCTACTCTGGCTCCTAGGTGAGGAAGGACAACAGCAGAAACTGAATTAAACAAGGGTGGTTAATGCTAACCACATCTTCCTGTCACATTTGTATGGGCATGCTGATGAGAGTGGATATTTGTGTTTGTGTTTCTCTTCTCAGGTGCCAGATGTGCCACCCAAGTGATAACCCAGAATCCATCCGTGGTGTCTGCACCTGTGGGAGGCACAGCCACCATCAATTGTCAGTCAAGTCAGAGTGTTTTCAACAACAATTGGTTATCCTGGTATCAGCAGAAACCAGAGCAACCTCCAAAGCTCCTGATCTATCAGGCATCCACTTTAGCCTCTGGGATCCCCTCGAGGTTCAAGGGCAGTGGCTCTGGGACATCATTCACTCTCACCATCAGCGGGGTGCAGGCTGAGGACGCAGGAATCTACTACTGTGCTGGACATTATAGTGGTAACATTTACACAATGATACAAGCCTGAACAAAACCCACTCAGGAAAGCAGAATTGTGAGTCTGGGCTTCCCCAGCTGCACGTCTTACTGTCTGCATCTGTTAAATGAATACTCAGGTAAAACCAATCACTCTTTGTTGGTCCTTGAAAGGCAATTAGAAAGGCTCTTTAGACTCCTTTCTAGCTTTACTCTGTTTCCTTCTTGGCACCTGCATTTTATAAATGTCTATGTACAGAAATGTCCAGAAATGTCTACTGAATTAGCGGAAGAAATGATTATTCTTGAGCACTAAATGTTACAGCATTCTTTTAGATTCAAACAGTACAAAAGTAATTGTTATGGACCTTTCAAGCAGATACTATAGAGTTTATTAGAGTCCAAGTTATACTTCAATGTTCTAGCAATGTGGGCATCAGAGACTGTGTGATCTACAAACATGGGATTCTGTGTTCTGAAATCCAAAGCTCCTCTGCTACAGAAGGACAGGTTAGGGAAATTTCTAAGCTGTGTCAACCACATGCCTACTGTTCAATTTTTTCTTATTGTGGTTGGTACTTGATTCTTTGTTTGCAGTCTCTTGTGCCACTCCCTCCATTGAATGTTAGATCTGGTCTCCAAAGGCACAACCACTGGTTCAGCACTCTTTACCTCCTATGATCCTGTGCTGGGGATGCATGGCTGTATGTGCAATCTTTCTCCCACTTCTGGTTCAAGCAGTTCCAACGAGTCCTAAATAATTAGGTGATGGGTGGTAATGATCTTGCTGACACTTGTTAGCTGTTAGGTCTGAGGGCTAACAAGACCTTTTTTGACCCCATAGGATGACATAGTGGGTATTATTTTCCCTGTGTGGGACCAGTGTGATGTAATGAGCAGGAAGTGAGACTGCTCCCTGCTCAGTGCATGTGCATCTCACTGTTGTGCCTCCAAACTCAAAATCTTAGCCACACTATACAAAGTGTTGCCTGAAGTGCCGCTTACGGAGTTCTGGATCTGCTGGCCTTTAGGTCTGGGGAATACCTAGATATTCTCCGAGTCGAACCAGAATGCCACATCACATTGGTGCAATGCAACAAACCAGAAATGATTTCACTCCCAGCTTAGTGCATGCACAGTCCCGTCCCATAGCTTTTGCTTACCTACACAAATAGTGCCTGATGAGTCTCTGGTAGGAATCTGGGTTGTGAAACGGACTCTGTTCCCACATAGACTGGGATCTGCTGTTTTCTCTCTGCTTCTGTCCAATCAGATAATCAGGATGGGCAGGTCTTTACCTGGGTTCACCTTTTGAGATTCTGGTGAACTCCCCTTCCCATCTGGCTCCTGGTGGAGCTCTGATTGCCAGTGGAGCTCAGATTGCTGCTCACTGACTGCCACTGGAGTATCTGGTCACTGCAACACCATACCATTGTCTCCTCTGTCTTTCAGTGTCCATCCATCTCCAAGTGCCCCTCTGCCGTGGGCCTGTGCTCTTGTATTTCTTGGAAAGTGCCCTCTCTGCTTCACCCTGGCTAATGATTCTCCATCTGTTTAAACATCTCCTTATGCTATTGCATAATTTTGATTTTTTCATCTAAAGCCACAATTTATTGAAAATAGTCTTTTCCTGTAATGTCTTTCTCTAAAAATGAATACTCTTACTCTAATAATCATTAGTAAATTTACTTATTTTCTGGAACACTGTTTGAACTAGTTTGCGATTGTCATTATCTCAAAACATCTTTTGAAGGTAACTAACGTTACCTTTCCTATCTTCAGCCTGCACTGCCCCTATATCCTGTCCATTACCATCATCTTGTTTTCCTCTGGGTGAGGTTCCTACTCACTCTGCCTGGGCTCTGACTCCTGCCCAGGAGGTCCCTGTCCCCACAACTCTACTCCTTCTCCCACTCATTGGGGACAACCCCAATGAGAACATACACTTCACCTATGCATAACTGAGATGCTGCATGCAGGGCTTGTACCCTCCTGTACCTGCCCACTTCTGTCCTGTTCTTGACTAGGCTCCCTGTGTCCTAAAAGCAGCCACTAAGACCAGAGGAAGTGAGAGATTAGGTGATGGCACAATAGGCATGTTCAGAATGCATAGAAGATACAGGGGTATAAAGGACAGCTTTGTCTAGACAGAGCTGTTCTGCAGGCATAGCTAGGGCTAATAGGGGCAGAGAACATCAGCTATAAACAGAGACTCCAGGGGAGATCTGGCATGGAATGTGTGGTAGGAAGAAGAGTTGGGAAGGTGACCCAAACTCCTCATTTAGAGAGCAAGAAAACCCTCAATAGTGCCTTTTCTGAAAGGATACAGTAAAAGCGCATTCAAATGGGGAAGACAAATCACTTAGCTAGGAATACACACTAGTGCTGCCAGATGGAACTCTTCCTTATAAATTCAACTCCCCCATCTCATTTTTCCTTTTTTTCCCACCTTCTTGTATGTCACTCCAGGCTACTATGAAATCACACAGAGGAAGCTTGCCTGGACACAACAACAGCCACAAGAACCACAGAGGAGCTTGTCAAGATATGAGATAGTGCAAGCCCTGGAACCTTGTCGCAGGTGGAACAGTGTCAGCAAAGCGAGTGGTGAGCTGTGAGAAGAGAAATGGAACATTTCACAGATGGAACAGCAGATTGAGGCCTTTCCTGTAGTCCCCAGGGAGAGAGGTTCCCAGGGCCTGAGCCTAAGCACTAGGTTTTGGCATGGACCTCTGGGGATATTGCACATTTGCTAAATTGCTCAGTTAAGACAGCTTTGTATTGGGGTTCACTTCTGCCTCACACTGTTGATCTGCATGTCTCAAGGTCACTTCCCACTGCCCTGCACACTTATGAGGAGGTGCTCACAGCCTTTGCAGAAGTCAGTGCCAGTCAGGACACAGCATGGACATGAAGGCTCCTGTTCAGCTCCTGAGGCTCCTGCTGCTCTGGCTCCCAGGTGAGGAAGGACAACAGCAGTAACTGACTCAGTTCTTGTGGTCGATGCTAACCACATCTTCCTGTCTCCTCTGTATGGACATGCTGATGAGAGTGGATATTTGTGTTTGTGTTTCTCTTCTCAGGTGCCAGATGTTCCGGCCAAACAGTAACCCAGAGTCCATCCATGGTGTCTGCACCTGTGGGAGGCACAGCCACCATCAATTGCCAGTCAAGTCAGAGTGTTAACAACAACAATTGGTTATTCTGGTTTCAGCAGAAACCAGAGCAACCTCCAAAGCTCCTGATCCATAGTGCATCCACTTTAGCCTCTGGGGTCCCCTCGAGGTTCAAGGGCAGTGGATCTGGGACATCATTCACTCTCACCATCAATCAGGTGCAGCCTGTGGATGTCGGAACCTATTGCTGTCAAGGGTATTATTACAGTAGTAGTGTAGACCTTGCATGGTGATACAAGCTTGAACAAAACCACCCAGGAAAGCAGAAGTATGAGACTGGGCTATCCCAACTCATTCTCTTGTGGCCTCTGTGTGCTTAGACTCATTTTCTGATGCAGTTTATATTTTATGGTCCTTGTAAGGTAATTAGGAATGCCTCTGGGACTCATTTGTAGCCTCCCTCCATTTTGTCCTTCTTTGCACTTGGATTTCATAAATGTTTATGTTTCTACCTAATGATCAGAGAAATGATTATGCCTGAGTAGTCAGTGTTAACAGCATCCTTTTAGATTCAAACAGTAAAAGGCAATTGTTATGAATCTTCAAGAAGAAACATTACATACAGTTTATTACTTTGCAAATTATCCTTTAACGTTCTAGAATCTGGGGATCAGTGATGGTGATCCTAGAAACATGGGATTCTGTGTTTTCCCTGAATCCAATGCTCCTCCGCCACAGAAAGAACAAACTGCTTAGCCTGTGGTCCTCAGCCCTAGAGCTGATGCTCTCTATTGCCTGTAGTCTCACAGGTCCTTCACATAATAGTTTGCCTGCAGGTGCAGATGGATTGTCCAGAATTTGTCTTCTGACATTCGAATGTCCGGACACTTGACTTTGATGTCTTTCCTAGTCTCTGTCACTGCCAGTCCTAAGGGATATTTGCTGCCCCTGGCAGTCATAGGGCTAAATAATGTCAGTTTTCAATCTGGTAGCACTGGTTTGCATGTGTTTCAAACCTAATTGAAAATTCTCATAGAATTGCTCTAATAATTTGCAAGTAAGTAACCATGTGGAATCTCCCTTACACATAGAATATTTTGGAAAATCGAGTAGGATCCTTAGCACACACAGCTTTAATCTTAGTGGACATGACAGATAACAAACAGACAACTAACATTTTCCCTCTGTGTCCACTCTTCTCTGAGAGTCGTCCCCTGGAGCAATGAAATTGCTCAGGGAAACTTGGCAATGCATGCCCTTATCCACTTACTGTATCTTCCTGTGACAGGTTTGAAAAGGGCAGGGGCAGAAGGAATAAATTGGTGCAGTCAAACACTTATTGGACATGTACTTCCTAAAAACGTGGTGATGTGCAGGCTTATTAATGGTCAGCAAACAAAGTTGTCCTTTAATTGAGCAAAGAGATTTTAAAATTTCTCTTGTTGTTGCATATAAAAGAAATTTACAATCAGTCTGTGACAGGAATTAGTTTTAGAAGGATGTCATTACTGAATTTAATATTTGTTTCTAGGGATGACAATTTTCTTCCTGGCTACTCTTCTCCATTTTTCAAAATTTTATTATTAACTTTAAGGATAGAGCATTGGAAAAAGGAAAACAGAGATCAAAACGAAGTGAGAGAAAAAGAAAGAGACAGAGGGAGGGAGAGAGAAAGGAAGAAAGGAAGGAAGGAAGGAAGGAAGGAAGGAAGAAAGGAAGTTTGAGAGTCAAGATGACAGAATAGGGTAACAACACATTTAAACAGATGGAAAATCATTATCCAGAGTGAAGCAGAGAGGGCACATTCCAGGAAGTAGGAGAGGACAGAACAGCAGCAGAGGGGTCCCTGGAGACTGACAGACAGGAAAGTAGCAGACACAATAGTGTGATGTTGCAGTGATGGATACCCCAGCTGCATTCTGCAAGTGGGAATATGAACTGTCCCAGAGGTTGGAACTCCATCAGCAACAAGGTGGGAACGGGTATTCACCGGGAGCTCAGGATGTGAACCCAGACAAAAAACTGTCTGTCTTGCTGGTCTGTTTGATTTGACCAGGAGCAGACACAGAGCAGCAGGTTCCAGAGGGGTGGTGCAAGAACAGGGTAAATTTCACAGTCCAGTTTGCCCCCTAGAGTTGAATCAGGTGCCATTTTGTATAGGAAGGCAAAGGCTATGGACATTATTGCTCATGCACTGAGCTGGGAGTGAATTCATTTCTGCCTCAGTGAACTGAAACAGTGTGGTTTCCTACAGGTTCCACCCAAGATAGGTCTGAGTAATCCTGATGGTCAGCAGATCAAGAACTCTAGTAGTGGCACATCAGGTACCATTCTGTACAGTGTAGAAAAACTTTTAAGACTACAGGGACAACAGTGAGCTGTGCATGTGCTGAACTGGAAGCAAACTCACTGAGGTCATGGGGAAAATAATAACTTTGGCATTGCACGAGTCAAAATAGGTCCATGTGACCCTCAGACTTAACAGTCAAAAGGTTCCTGCAAGTTCAGCACCACCAACAATCTAGTTATATAGGCAACCTAATGTCTCCTAAATCCTGGGAACTGCTCTAACAGCAAGTGGGAGAAAGTTTGAACAGACAATGGTGCAGCATCAGCATGATATCACAGAAGGTGGAGAGTGGTTAGCCAGTGGTTGTAGCTACGGAGATCATGGTGGAAGTCTAACATAAGAACCCAAACCTGGAACTCGGTGCAGAGAGTGGCACAAGTGACTGCAAACAAAGAGCTGTGTGCCAACCACAATAAATAACATCAAATTTTAGACCTGTGGGTAACACAGCTTGGAAATCTGCCCCAAGGAGAAGAATCTGATAACTAGAAGTACAATGACCAAGAGCCAGAGAAGAGACAAAGGCACAAGGAATATTATTGAGGACTCTATTGCTAAGGAGCAAAAGCCTTTGCCAACCTCAGAGTTAACTGAGGAAGATATAGAGAAAATATGTGATACAGAATTCAAAACACTTGTTATAAAGCTTCTTACGAACAATGAGAAGCATGTAATACAAGAGTTCAACAAATGTATAGATTGTACCATAAAATTCAAAAATTCAAAATAAAAATTTAAAAAAGATTTAAGGAACCTGTTACAAAGGAAATGAATCAAATGAAAGCTGATAGATCAGAAATGAAAAATACAGTAGAACAAATTAAAAGTACAGTGGAGAGTCTCCAAAATAGAACAAATGAAATAGAAGAAAGAACCTCAGAAGATATTTCCTAGCACCAGGAGGAAAGAAAAAGCTGGAAGTAAAGCCGGGCCAAGCTAAGAAAAGTATTCAAGAATTGAAAGACAAAGCCAGAAGGTGCAGAAAGATAAGCTGCGTTTAAAATCTATTTAATGAAATAATAAGGGGAAATTAATCTAGAGAAAAAATTGGGAAACAACATCCTGGAGGGGCACAGAACTCCCAACAGATGGAGACTCTTGGATAGGGAGTGATGAGTGCTATCCTCTCACTACTACAGTGTAGAAGTGCATGGTGAGGACTGGCACCCAGCAGAGGCAACCCTCACCTGGGAGAGAAGGTCCATACCTTGGCCTGTCCTTGGACTACCTGTTTACCTGGTCTCTAGCAGAGAGGATTCCAGAAAGGATTTACCTGAACCTCAGAGACATGCTGGTAAGAGGAGGAAGCTAAGAGAAAATTCACAAGAGATACTCTGTTGGTTTTCTTCATCTTTGCAGAAAATTGATGTAGGTCTGTACTTATTCAGAGGGGCTTATGGATCCTACACCAGGCTTCTACAATCTATGCAAACACTGATGACTGCTTCATTCATTACCTTTTAGGTAATAGTGAGAGGTTTACTCTGATGAACTTCAGGCAATGACCCCACCTGGCAGAAAGTGGCATTGCGGAGGACTCCATGCCCACAGTCAGGAGCAGCTCATTTAGATTCTGAGCATAAGCGCCCTCTAGTTTGAGTTATGGTGAATCTCTCTGCAGTGAATTCCTTCACTTTATTCACACTTTATTAAGCTTAGTACCATTTCAATTTGGCTTCTGAGTATATTTGAGGTTCTTTATGTGCTCTTTTCTTAGTTGAATAAATAAAATATGTTCACTCTCCAAGAAATGTACAAGTGCTCAGTGGAACAGTGGAACAACGATGGGTAGACTGAGGGATTGATAACTTTACTCTCTAAAATGTCACTACTGATTCTTGACCAGCAAAATTGTTATCCTATAAATCATCCATGGCCTGGAAATAAAGATAGATTTAGCATGTTGTCATTTGGTTCATTTAAATTGTGCCAGGTTTCCCTCTACTATTTCTGTGACATACTACTGTGTCCTAGAAAATCATCTCCTGAGCAGGTAACTCAGTGTTGCCCCAGTGTGACCTGGGGTGCCTGGGACACTCTTTTTACTGTGATGAAAAGGGGTGTGATCATCATCTTACACAGAGTTGCCCCAAACCCTGCTCATCTGTGTGTTCTGAAAACAGCCCACTGCCCTGCAGATGTAGGAGCAGGCTGCTCTCAGCCTGTGCAGGAGTCAGTGCCTATCAGGACACAGCATGGACATGAGGGCACCTGTTCAGCTCTGGGGCTCCTGCTGCTCTGGCTCCCAGGTGAGGAAGGACAACAGCAGAAACTGAATTAAACAAGTGTGGTTAATGATAACCACATCTTCCTGTCTCTTCTGTATGGACATGCTGATGAGAGTGATGTTTGTGTTTCTCTTCTCAGGTGCCAGATGTGCCACCCAAGTGATAACCTAGACTCCACTCGAGGTGTCTGGACCTGTGGGAGGCACAGTCACCATCAAGTGCCAGTCAAGTCAGAGTGTTTACAACAACAATCAATTAGCCTGGT